CTTTAACAAGGCAACGTCTATGCTCTGGACTCACTATCTGTCCCCATTAAAGGTATGGGGATGGGGGAGCTGAGAAACATCACTTCAGAGTTTGGGCAATATTGAGGCCCAGGTATCCATCCTGAAAGACCTTCACATTGACCTAGGACAGTCAGTGAGCCACCCCCTCAAGGGAAGCCTGGAATGTGGGGCCCTTTTGAGATCGCGTCTACATATGCACAGACGTTCTGGTGACTTACATGGGAAGAAAACTACCCAGCCATCCACAATGTGGTAAAACGTCACCCAGTTCTGTGACCTTGAGAAAATTCCCAGGCTGGTGCAGGAGGGGAACCCAGATTCCCCAAGCTGAGATGACCCACCTGTGCATGCGGGCAGACCAAGGTTAGAGCCTCACTGGACAGGGTAAGAGAGAAGTTTCAGGTATAGGGGTTCCCTGAAGTATTCTGATTTATCTGGTCACTTTATCGTGTCAGCGATCCCTCAAGCTAAATCCCCTTGAAATTGTGTGAACCGGACAATGCGATTTGTCCATCACATGCATTTCAGGTGCCTTGTTAATAATAACTTATTTTTTCTTTTGGAAAATAACATCCCTGAATGAAAAAGAGAAAAAGAAGAAAAACCCTGGACCTGGATAAATGTACTATATCCAAGTTGTGTCAAGAAAACACGGACACCTCAGTGTCTCCATTTGCAAACGAAAGCAGTTAACTTTTACTCAGAGGCCTCATAGGCAGTTCACATAGATGACAACAGATGCAAAAATCCTTTGTTCCCATAGCAAAAAACATTGGGACAACTGGTGGTGTTGTCGGGTAAGCATTAGACTACTAACCACAAGGTTGGCAGTTCAAATCCACCAGCTTCTCCACAGGAGAAAGATGAGGTTGCCTGCTCCAGTAAAGATTTATAGCCTCAGAAATACTATATAGAGTGACGATGAGTCCGAATTGGCTGTTAGCCAATCTAATAACCACCATACACACATACCTACTTAAGTTTAAATGCATAAAAGTAAACAAAATGTAAAGTGGCATTTCTCAGTTGCATTAGTTGCATTTCAAGTGTTCAAAAGCAACATGTGGATCATAGCTACCATATTGGGCAGAACATAGACATCAAAGAATATTGCCAATGGTCTAAAAGGTTCAATTGGAAAGTACTGGAATATAAATATATATTCAACAAACAGATAACATTTTGAAAATGAAATCTAATGACTTGCTTATACCAAGATTTTCTTTTGTATTTGTATGTAACACTTTATCTCCAAATTTTGAATAAATATAGTTGAGCAACATACCTTTGAATTTTAGGGCATCTAGTAACGTTTATTGTTGTTATTGTTTTTTAACCGGCTTCCTGAAATAGGCCAGAGGAGGTACTGATTTAACCTTCTAGGGGAGTTGTCTAAAGAACCCTGGTAGCACAGTGGTTACATGTTGGGCTGTGATCCAAAAAGTCCACCCATCACTCCTCGGAAGAAAGATGGGGCTTTCGACTACCGTAAAGAGTTACAGTCTCAGAAACTCACGGGGCAGTTCTACCCTGCCCTATAAGTCACCATGAGTCGGCATCGGCTCGATGGCAGTGAGGATTGTCAAAGACAAGAGACTACATCCTTCTTGATAGCTCGCTTTAGTAAGAATAAATTCCTCGGCATTTCTTTGTTGATATTTGTGTGACCGGACAGCTGCTCAAGTCACTTGTTTCAATAGCTTCGTCCTGAATGCTCATGATATTGACATTGTTTGTCTCCTGCATATGTAGACAGGGAGACATTTTGAATAGATGAATATAGCAGCAGTAAGTTAAATGAGTTGAATTCTGCTTACTTCTGACAAATAGATTGCTATCATTATTAAAGGCAGGCATTTTCTCCAATGCGGCGAGAAGCTGTTCTTCTTGCTGCCTAAGCCGTTTCCATTACAAACGCAATTTGCTACCAGATGGAGCCCTGCAGGAGACATCAACTAGAGAGAGAAGGGTGTCTCACCACATGGGAACTCTGAGGCTTAGTGGGAGGTCTCGGTAGAATTGTTGGGGATTCATTATAGAAAATGAACCCAAGCCTGGTCCTCCTCCTCCTCTGGGGATCCTGTGTTACTGTCATCACATGAAGTGGGAGGAAGTTCAGATAAGAGAGATTCTCAATGGGAACTAAGTGGGGGGAGGGTTATGGTGGAGTCAAGCACCATAAGCAAATTCCCTGACTGTTAGTCTCCCTATTTCCTTAGTTTCCCCTGTGATAGCAGATTTCCATTCTATTGGGACAGGGACTCCTTCAAGAATCACACTCTAATCTCATATGTAACATTCACCAAGGACTCTTCAGGGCTCATGGGCCCTTCTAAAGAATGTCCCTGGGGTTGAACGAGGGCTAGCTCCTTAAGAATGATCCTTCTCTATATCTTTCGCTTTGAATGTCTCACCAGCATGAGACAAATATTAAGATAGTTTTTCTTCGCTCTTCAGATTTTTAGGAATCACTCAGCCACAGAAATGAGTTCAGTTACCTTTTAAAAAGAAAGCTATTACGTGCATTTTGAAAAAGCAAGGGTTTGCACTCTATAAGCCCCCTTGGAAAGGGCTCCACCATTACTTTGACTTTTAGAGGCTTTGCTATCCTCAGCAAATAGTACTTATTTGAATGGGTATGTTTTCATAACTGTCCATGGAGTATTTCATATGCCATCTACAAAGATTCATGCATTGATCGCCTTGAGAAGAGTCATATAAAACATGGCAGCGGATCGCTGGTCACTGAACAGACAGCAAAATCTGACCTAAAATATATATGATTGAAGCCAAACAATTATCAACTTAAATGACTGGATCCAATGAAGGAGGAAAAACAAACCCTTATTAGCAAAGTTTTAGTATAATATTAATATTCCATTATTAGTCATTTTAAAAGGAAGGCTGCAGATTTTCATCATTATTTAGCAACTTAGTTTTTATTAATGTTGAGTTATTAAAAACGAGCATCCATATCAGTGTCGATAGGGGGGGAGCGGGGGAGTAAGGCAGCGGCGGGGTAGATGAGGAAGAGGAGGAGGAGGAAAGAATTCTGTCTTACCACATGGGAACTCCAAGTTCATTCCATCATGGATTTCATAGTCACCCAGGCACACATGGTCCTTAAAGATGGTGCACCACTTCTCTTTATTTATTTATTTTCTTTTTTAACATTTTATTAGGGGCTCATACAACTGTTATCCCAATCCATACACACATCAATTGTGTAAAGCGCATTTGTACAT